CATATCCTTTATAGCCACAAATAGTCTTCATAAGATTGATTTTTTTTTCAAAAATATTATCACTTTTTGAATGAGCAAATCAAACAAACTAAGCATTCTTACAATTATTTTTAAATATATTAGTTTAAATGAAATTTGTAAGTTTACTTTGAGTACAATTTGACTAATACTGATAATGCTTGCAAAACAAAAAAAATTTTCATTCAGATTTTAAATGGAGTATTTTAAAAATATTTTTGATTAGGCTCTTAAGCCATTAAGTCCGTTTAAATTATTCGGTGTTCTCACTGCTTTTTTTTCTCACCATACCTTTGTTAGTAATGATGCATAGAATGAAAGATTCTGATTATGTAATAATTATGTAATATACATACATGAGAAAAATCAAGAAAATTTTTCAATAGAAGTTATCTAATAAATTGGTAAATCTTTTACTAAAGAAAATGTTCATAGAATGAAATATTCATATATTTCTTCCAAGCATAAATATTGTTTTATTCTTTCGAATATTTTAAGAATGAATTCGTTATTTATCTGAAATTTAGATTTGCATCCGTAATTTAAATATTTTAGTTTTTATTTATAGTTTTCAAAATAATCATGAATAGAAATGCATTATTATTTCGAAAAGAAATGCTCAGAGAAAAATGCATGGATTAAAACTTATTAACATGCATAATGTTCAGATTATTTTCTGTTTAAAATATTTTTCTGAATTAGCATTCATTTAGACTTGGAAAATAATTAAGACTTATTAAAAACCTTATTCTTATGGATTTTACGAAGAATCATACATATTCCATTTCTTGGTTTCAGAGCGGCTAATTTCTATTTGGGAGATTATCTGTGATTTTAAGTTTTAATGAATTTATTAAATAGGGAATTTCAAATTGTCTTAATACTTTTTTTTATGAAAAAATAGATTGTACATTGCAAAAAAATTACCCAATTGGGGAAAAAAATTAGCACATTTGTAAGAAACGAAAATTTATAGTTGAATTTTAAATCAGTTTAATTTCCTTTAAAGTGATTAAATAAACAGAGTACAAAATGACATGAAGCAGACCTAGGTTGGAGAGCTGGGGGTGGTGAGTTTGATCCTGACAGCTAACAAAATAACTATCGTGTATCTGCAACAAGGTGCACGTTTAATTTGTCGTGACTGGTAGTCCTTTCGTTGGTTGTGGTGTGAAAGCTTGTTACGAGAGGTACCAGCTCAGTTGCTATCCCCGTCATCTGACAAGGTTCAAAAATACGTGGCATTCCTACCATGTCTGTTAAAATATAGAGCCCTAAAAATGGGGGTAAGTGCCTGCGTCATGGTTAGGTGGTGATGAAACAGACATGCTACTCTTTTGGAATAGGTAGGGGATTAATCCATATAAAAACTTACATCAGTTTCTAAACTCATCCTGTATTTGGACACTGATGAAGATTCTTCCCCATAGGCATTCCTAATTATTCTTACATTAATTCGTTGATTTTTGAACCAAAATGAAGTTTAAAAAACATTGTTTGATTTTAATAAATAAAAAATTTTAAAATATTAACTTTTCTATACATTTTATTGATAGTGGAATTTCAAAGTGAATAATTTGTTAAAAGGAAACTCGACTAATTTATTTTCTTAAAAAATTGTAAAGCTACTTTAGTTGTTTTTAAACAGTTTAATGGATTATATTTCTATTATACTTGTACAGTGCTCCAAAAAACGGACCACGAAATCGAATTTTAAATATACGATTTTTTTAAAATTTGATTTCGTCGGAACTATTCTAAAGATTTTGCTCAAATTATGTATTTGCCATGCAAAATTAGATACTTTAAAATAATGTAGAATATTGTATACCTCACAATTCAAAATTATTTCAACTATTATTAAATAAAATAATAAATATTTAGTGAAATTTATTTTTGCTTTTAATTATCTATGGAAAAACTAATTTTATAATTGTGTGCAAATTTTTTTTAATCCGCTTAAAATATTTTCAAGATCTACGCAAAAAGTGAAACGAGCATAAATTGATCCAAACTTTAGATTGCTCTCCTGACCAAATTATTAGGACCATATGTCCCAGATTGGACCTTATTTCCTATAGGTGGAAGTAAGATATATTCCCCCTATATTTTGGGAGTAAGAAATTCCCCCTATGTTTTGGGAGTANTTCGTCGGAACTATTCTAAAGATTTTGCTCAAATTATGTATTTGCCATGCAAAATTAGATACTTTAAAATAATGTAGAATATTGTATACCTCACAATTCAAAATTATTTCAACTATTATTAAATAAAATAATAAATATTTAGTGAAATTTATTTTTGCTTTTAATTATCTATGGAAAAACTAATTTTATAATTGTGTGCAAATTTTTTTTAATCCGCTTAAAATATTTTCAAGATATACGCAAAAAGTAAAACTAACATAAATTGATCCAAACTTTAGATCGCTCTCCTAACCAAACTATTAGGACCATATTTCCCAGATTGGACCTTATTTCCTATAGGTGGAAGGAAGATATATTCCCCCTATATTTTGGGAGTAAGAAATCCAAATCCTTCGAAAAAATATGTTATTCAGAGAAAACACGCTTTTGTGTCAGATTTCATAACTTTAAATATATTTTACTCTAATTAATTAGCATATTCCAGGTAACCTCCTAGAACCATTAAATTTTGAATTTTTGAGAACTTTGAACCATTATGGAGATGCGATCAATAGATCACAATTTACCAGTATGGTCCTTTCTTTTAGCGCTGTGCAGCAAGGTAGGCATGTATAGCGTTTTTTTAGTATCTATATACACATTATATAATATTTTTATGTATTATGCACAGAAAACGTTACGCATATATAAATCATAAAAATTTTATGGTTTTGAATAATTTATTTTTCTGCCTTTCATTCATTTCTCGGGAAATCTTTTTTAAGCTTTAATTTCGTTTGAACATCACTCTCACTTATTTACACATATATACATTTCCATTTTATAGGTTTTTCCTTTTATTATGGAAGTAATCGAAAAAGGGGGAAAAGTTTGCTTTCAGAAAAAGCTATTAAGGAACGAAGTATTTCCAGCTTAAACATTTTCAGAAAAAAAAAACCGATAACTAGCATCCCATCTGCTCCAGACAAGAATTAAATTAATACTACCGGCAGTTTCCCACAACCAAAACTTATAAAAGAAATTTATGTGGATATTGAAAAAGCCGATTCATACTCAACTGCTTGAGAATCCCAAACAAATAAATATTACAATGGCTTTTCCACCTCTGTTTGTCAACAGCTCCAGAAGATAGTAGATTTTAAGCTTTTCCAATCCCCTAGTAAACACCATAGTTTTACTTTATGATTTTACTTACTGTCTCACACCATTGGAATAAATGGATTTACTATCTCCGCAGTATGAATCAGTTCTGAATGCGTTGGACATCGGCATTATTTACAAGGCTTTCTGTTTGCGGGTATAAATAATGTTCGCAATTCCTCCACAAAATCTCGGCAGCTGCCATTTTTCTCACAATGTCCTTTTTAGTTTTTCCACATCCCTGTCTTCTCATAAGTTACTCTTTCAGGTAGTTTATTATTATATATTTTTTTTTGCTTCGATGTTGTGAGAGTTTTTATGATTATTTTTAGATTCGTCACGTTCGCGTTCCTAGTGCTACAAGAGCCGATACGTGAGTGTCTTAGTTGGTACTTCGTCTTGTATTTTTGACAAGTTTTTGTTTGTTTTTTCTCCCAAACTCAAAGAAGACAGCTGTTTTGAAGTAATTGGTGTGCCCCAGCTTTCGGCTCTAATGCGATATTTTGGAAGAATTTATTTATAAATTCCAGACTGATGCTTGTTTTTGAAATCTTTATTGCCGAAATTGTTTTTATGAGGAACTTAAATTACTTTGAGACTTTCGATTGTATACTTTTCTGTTACAGTTCAAAATTATATTCTTTATTAATTAAAAAAAAATGAATCTTTGAGTTAAAAATACCCATTTTTACTCTGCGTCTGATATACATATTTTCATTTCGTGACAATTAGTGACGTGTATTTTTTGAAATATTTATTTTTTAAAGAGTGGAGAAAATTACGTTTTATTTATTGAATCAAGATGGAGATTATTGGAATAAAAATCATGCGTGCATATGTTGTGAAAGAGGTGAGGAAAGTAGAGTGAGAGGATTTAAAACGTTCGAAATACGATCATGCGATTTATAGACATTCCTTATACATTTAATGCTTCACTGCTTACATATTTTACACATTCTATTAATATATATAGAGATCTTCTTTTTATTGATGTAAGTTTTGATGTAAGTTTCTGGTGGGGAAAATAAGTTGAGAATATATTTGATTGAAATTTTAAGCAAATTTAATGAAGCATCGTATGAAATGTTTATTTTATTTTTTCAATTTTTTTAAATGAGTGTATTTTAAATTAAAGTATGCTTACTTGCTAACTTTCTTCATATTATTTTAAAATCTTTAAAATAATTGTTCTTAATACTTTTTATTTTTTTATGGAACAAAATCAACTAAATTTCTAATTACTATTGTATCTTTAATGTGTTTGTATTTTTTAATGAAATTAAAAAGAAATGGTGAAACAGAAAAATATTTGCAAAGGGCATTTTTTCCAACTTTTAAAAAAAATTTCTGATAAAATTAGCTCTAATTCATGGAAAATTTATAGTAGAACAAAACAATTTAGTCGAAGATTAGTTATGCGAGCAAATAAAAAAATATTAGTTCCATATGCATGAATATTCACCCCCTAATTTGTTAATTGGATATAAGATTTTAAAAAGGTAGTGTAATTGCTAACTAATTAATCTCTGATATCATGTTTTTTTGTTAAATTTTTGTGTATTATATTATGTGCAGAGTTAATGCATACGTGCCAACAATTTTTTTTAATACTTAATTTGTTTTATAATAAATATTTAAACTTAAGTATTACTAAGGTTGCATATGATTAAAAAATTTTTCTTCTTTTCATTCTAGAAGTTATTTGGGCTTTGCCGTTACCTCAGAATTTGGTTACATAAAAGAGGTTGAAAAGATGAATTGCTTCTAGAATATATTCTCTATCGTAATCTACGTATTTCAATTGTTAATGAGAAATTTAGGTAAGTCTTGTTACTGTTTTTATCGATAACTTCCTATTATTACAAAATTTTATTTTATTTTGCATTTATTTTTCATAGGATAGTAAAATAAATAAAGATAAATAATTTAAATGATTCACAAAATATTTAGACCGAGAGAGCCTGGGTGGTAGGACGTTGGGCTCATATTCGTGAGAACAGAAGTTTGAATCAAGCCGGCCGAAAAAAAACGTGAATTCAATGGTGACTGGTGCACGTTAAATCGGTCAAGGTTACAAAGTCTTCCAAATTCCCGTAACAAATCAATACGTACTGAATTGGAGATTGATCGTTATCTAGTTCAGGTCCAAATTGCAATATGTGCATGAATGAATGGATGTATGAATATATCTGCCCTTTAAAACTGGCTAAGACGCGTGTGTGTGGCTAAAATCGTATTCTTTGCTATAGATGGCCCTACTGAAAAAACAAGATAAATAATTCACCCTCTGCCTGAAATTTGCTTGGTTACCCAAGCAAACTTGCTGATATTGGAAAGTGGCAATAGAAAAAACTACAGAATAATAATTTTTTATAGTGATTTTCTGTATGTTCATTTAACAACTAAGAAAATTATTTAAAAAATCTTGTATTCTCTTAGAACATCATAACCTGAAAGCTATGTCCATTTTCAATATATTTTTGAAATATTGAAAGTATAGGAAGCTTCTTCGTATTGGTTGAAAAAAGTAAGTAATCAATAAATTAGTACAAAACAACGCTTGGAAACCAAGCACGGAACAGAATGACATATGCCATCACAGTTAATAAAGTTTAAATGATTCTTTTTTTTTTTTTATCAATTACCATATTTGGTTCCATCCGGAGGCTTTACGTTATTAGATTATGCAAAACACTTTTTTAGCAATTCATTCTATAAAAATAATGATTAAATATGTTCAGTATTCTTTTGTGTGATGCTCATGCAATCAAGCGGTTTTCTCTGGTACTTATCCTTTTCAAGGTTTATAAAAAAAACCTCTTAAAATTATATCTTTTGATATAATTTTGAACGTCTACTGGCTATAATTTTGGACGGCTACTGGACGGAATTTTGTTTTTATTAAGAGTTTTACTTACTCTCTAATCGAGAAGTTATTTTCTCTGTAACTTCATGTTAAAGATAAACTTATAAAATCTATTTTTAACGTGATTGTTTAATTGCTAAATTTTATAAGAAAAACTTATTATGAACGGATTCCCTTTCTCAAGTTCTATATATATAGACGCAACATAACGTAGGTAAAAAGTAAATAAGACTCTCAACGGAGCAATCTACTGACAGACCAACTGTAAATGGACTATTAGGTATTTTCATACTTTAATTGTAAGAATGCCATATTTAAAATTTGCGAGTAGCAATTTAAATTGCTTAAAATAAATCCAAATGAGTTTTTTAAACTGACTTGTTGCTAATATAAATTAGTATTATATCAAGGCAGTAAACATACTTGATTTTTTTTTACTTCTACATGAGACAAGAAACAAGCTGTCGCCCAAGATACCGAAAAAGGAGCCGCTTGGCGGTCACCCGAAATATAAAGCTAAAGAAGTTTGCATTCGGAAGAAAAAAATTGCGAAGATTATTCTTGTTGAGCGTCAATCATGACGGTGAAAGCTAGAAATTTAAGGAGATGATGTACAACTTCTTGACATTTGAACTAAATAAAAAGAGAATAACTTACTTGGATTACGATATTTAACAAGCTACCCGCATTAATCAACTCGGGTTATCACAATATTTACGATTTGTTCCATTTTAACTAGCAGCTGTGAAAGTAAAAGATTTAAAGTGTGTAATAATCACAGTTTTGAGGTGTCAAAATTGATAAAGCTAAACGTTACCAAAGACGTTAAATTTAAAAGGAAGAAAGCCTTTTTTGATTTAAATAAGATCATAATATATTGAAAACTCTTTGTTTCAAGAAAAATAATTTCTGAAACAGTTCAAATTTTTTATACACGAAATTTGTGTTTAAAAAGTGAAATTAAGTTATATAATGCTAACCTACATCTAAGGTTTTTCTAAAATTATTGTAAAATAAAATTGTGTCTTAAAAATTTAATAAAATAAAAATTATTCGAACACTTATTATAAAATCATTTATATTTTACAGATTGCAGATTGTGTATGAAAATCATAAATTATAAATTTTGTTATTCAAAATTCCACTATCCTTCTTTCCACTTTAACCCTTTGACGCAGATGGGACCCCCGGGTCCCTTTTATATATTTTTGCTGACGCTCTAATTTACAAGCAAAAATTTATTTTTATATCTTTTAATTAAAAAAACAGTCTCGTAATTACTAAGAAATATCTGTTAGATTATTAGAATTATATATGTAGTAAAATATAAAAGCCAAAAAAAGTAATTTGGAATTTTCCCACTCATATTCAAAAACGTATTAATAATTTATTTTGTGAAATCTAAATAATGAATAATTAATTCTCTTGGATCTAAAGAACTGCAAATAAGTACTCATTTGAAACATAATTGTATGAAAGTGAATAGAGAGTGAGTAGTACCTCTAATACAGAAAAAGACACCAGTGTTTCATGCTCTATTTTATTTCCATAAATTATTGAAATGCTAAATGAAATATTTTTCATTTCCGTAAGTTAAAATGTTAATTGCAATGTCCCTTATTTTGAACTAAATTGATGCAAAATAATGAAAAAATATATAAAAATCATGCTTAATAAAACATCTGCGCCAAAGGGTTAAACCACAAAAATCTGAATCCACAAAGAAGTCATGTTTATTGTGAGGAATTATTGTTCTTTGATTTCGTACTGAGGAATATTTTATTAGTTTACTGTCAGTGTCTCTAAAAAGTTATACAGATTCTTCTTAATTCTTTTTGCTGCTGTTGTTTTTTACTGCATTTGTCACACGAACACTGAGACCTAATAAATGTAGTAAATGGTAGAATTTGATTTGCGCTGCGACTTTCATTAGGATAACCAAATTGTGTATTTTCACGTAGTCAAGAAAGAAACCATAACTAAGAAAAATGCTCCTTAAGGGTAACCAATTCTGGAAAGAAAGGAAAAACATAAATACTTTTTTCTCTGCAACAACAATGATATAAAGATGTCACTACTTATTACTGTTGTAAAAGATGTTGTTTTTCAAACACTTTGAAATATCTGAAAATATTCACCTGGGGATCAAAATTTTATGAACCTAATCTAGAGGTAATTATGAAACAGAATATAAAAATTACCAAAATACCAAAATTAACAACAATGATATAAAGATGTTACAACTTATTATCGTTGTAAAAGATGTTGTTTTTCAAACACTTTGAAAGATCTGAAAATATTCACCTGGGAATCGAAATTTTATGAACCTAATCTAGAGGTAATTATGAAACAGAATATAAAAATTACCAAAATTACCAAATTAAATATAATTGAGAAATTTATTAACGTACAAGACAAACAACAATTAACAAGTTGCAGAGTTTGGATGTAGGAAGAGATTTCCTTCAAATTAAAAATTCATCGTCATTTCTTGCCTCGCATTCCACAAGAGGATTGTCTAACCCAGAGGTCGCCAAAGTGGTCTATATAGACCCCCAGGGGTCTATTTAACAAAAGCGGGGGTCGATCTGAGACAGGGGGGCGAATGGGGGTCGATCCGAATCGGAAGGGTCGATTGTGGGTCGAAAAAAAAAACAGTTCTCAATACGCAAATCACACATACCTAATTAAGTATGTAAAATTTGTGAATTTTTTTTATAATTGACTCAATATCAGTTTCTTTATAAAACATAAATTAATAAACGTATATTTATTGGGGTGAAACAAGTATTTACGTACCACCGCGCAGTGGCACGAACTCAGCGCAGTTTATAAGTCATATGCATATGTGCGCTTGTCCAAATGTCACGTGTGACGAGCATTGACGTTACAAATGCAAATATCATACGCAGTTTCAGCTATCTTTGCAAACTGTGTTGAATATTTGCAGTGTCATTATTAAAACTTTTATAGTTTTGGATAATTAGTTATTGTTTCGATAAAACCATTCGTTTGGTTTAGATATCAATTTTAATTATCAATGCACAAAAAAGAAGGTAAGCATTAATAATATGGATTAGTACAGCCCGCGACAAAACTATAGCACACTTTGTATTTTTTTACGAAAATTACAAAATTGACCAATTTTGACGAAAATTAAAATTGACCAATTTTGAACCCAATATAGCGAACCTTGCAAAAAAACACCAGGCACACCCATCTCATTGATCAAGAAGCAGTAAATCTTTAGTTACTTTACTTATTATATCTACTTATGCATAATTACTTATTATTTAATAATAAGGTATTTAAATTTCAATATTAATATATTTTTCATAAAACTATTGTTACACAATATACTATTACTTTAATAAATGTTTAAAATCATAAAATAAATGTACAAACACAGTATCTAATAGAGTTTTATTTTAATTAACAGAAAATTACGTTTGTAGGGGTCGATGGAGATTTCGAAAAATTATACAAGGGTCGATGATCAAAAAAGTTTGGCAACCCCTGGTCTAACCCAACCAATTACATTTCGATACTGCTTTCAAAACGTTGCTAATTATTGCTGTAGTTTAAATGGTATTAAATTTATGTATTAGAACTGAATCTTACAACACTCGCAGAAAAATCCCTGCCCTCCAAATAAAACTAATTCAGTTATTTGAACAATAATTACAGAAATACAGATTATAAAATATTTCGACCAATTTAACGAACATTATTAAAACACTTAATGATTAAAAAACAAACTCGCATGTATTAATTTTCAAGTTATTTCTTAAATTTTAATTTCATTTTTATATATTTTTCTTATTAATTTTCGTTTTTTTTTACTTAAGTCTCGTCAATAAATTAAAATTATATTATAGTGTGCGAGTGTGTATATACAAAGTTCAGCGCAGAACAGAACATAACTTGCAGATATTGTAGAATGTATGTAAGCAG